AAATATTCCACCTGGGTAAAGGAGGTAGTAAGGCCGCTGGCTGATGTGAAGAGTGAGGTGACACTGCAGGATGGAGGGAGATCATATTTGCTGCCACATTTCATCACAATTGACAGAAGATATCAAAGGGTCAGGAGTCCATAGGAAAAGTTGCATAGGCAAAGGACTGTGACATAGCTTCAGCAGAAATGTCAGACAAAAGGAAAATTCTAAGAAATGTTGCAAAATAAGTAATTATATAATTTATACTTATAAGTAATTTAGAATTTATAAAAATAATGTAATTTATATTGGAACTGGAATGCTATGGAAAATAAGGAGCTGAAAGACTGTAAGATTAGCTAAGACATTTGTTGTTATTAATGGAGAAGAATCATAGAGTCATAGCATTTCCTAAGTTGGAAGGGACACAAATCATGGAGTATGACTCCTGGCTCCACACAGGACCACTCAAAAGTGAAACCCTGTGTTTGAGAACACTGTCCAAATACTTCTTGAATACTGGCAGCTTGGGGCCATGCCCACTGCCCTGGGTAGCTTGTTCTATGCTCACTGCTGACTGGTGGAGAACTTTTCCCTAACTCCCACCCGAGCCTCCCCTGGTGCAGCTCCATGCTGTTCCCTCAGATCCTAAAAAGAAAGGAAAGATTACAAATTAAGACTCACATTTTGTGCATATGCACTGATGTTATTTTATTCCATGGTGTTTGAATGGCATAGTGTGTGAACAAGTAGCTTTCTGTAATTAATAGAGTAAACAATAAATAGAACATACAGCAGCTCATCCATTTTTCTTTACCTCATTCTAGTTTACATAGGTTAAACAGCATACTTGTAAAAGAGGGTGAGGAACATGACAACCTATGCTCTTCAGACATTACAGTAATTGCCATGTACTTAGTTGATGGATATTGTTCTTTAGAGAGTGAATCTTCAACTTGGACAATACCGTCTCACTTGGCCCCAATGCCAGAAAATATAGTATATGGCTCCCTGGTATATTAATGTAGGTAGAGCCAGAGTACCAATGGAGCAGAAAACTTAAAACAGGGCAGAAAACATAGTAGGTTTTTATTGCTGATGTGCACTTCAGCTATTTTGTTATGACAGTATGTATATATATTTTGTTGGGAATAAAACATAAATAAATGAAAAGTAACTACTAGGAAAGGTAGAAAAGTTTACTGCTCTGTTGATGGTGGGAAGAGTAAGAAATAATAGTTTAAAGTAAAATAAATGAGAAAGTGTTAGGTTAAATATCAGGGGAAGATTTCTGAAGCAAAGCAGAGCAGCTAAATCACACTAGAGAATGTGACACAGAAAAGCTCCTCACTTTTTTAGACCATGTTGAACAAGTATTTTGTCAAGGATAGCTAATCCTGTGTTCAAATAGAGACAGATGACTTCCAGATATGTTTCACTCTGTGGATGTCAAGTCTTTATGTGAATGCTAAATAGGAAAATGCCCTCAAATATCCCTAAGGCACCAGCAAACTGGGGACAGAGGAAGTGACAAAGATAGAAGGGTGAGCAGGCTCATGTGCTTACCTTACTCTTCTTTGTTTACTGTCACAGTGATTGTACAATATTTGGGCATGATGGACTGATCAGGAGACCCAGAAGAGCATTTTTAGTTTATATATTCTACTATTATGTTGAGGAACAAAACCCACACTTGGTCTTCCACCTTCAAAAGGTCTTTACAATTTCTTGGCAAAGCCTGTGTTCCAAAGGTACTCAAGGAAATGATGCTGTACTACTTTCTAGTTATCAAAATCTGCACTGTCTGGATTTCTTCCATGACTTCCTTGCAGACACAGAGCAATGTTAACTGTAAAGAGAGTTTCTTTGGAAGTAACAGTGTAAAAATTGTGCTCTCAGATTCGGATGTGGTTTGCCCCTGATTGCAGTCACATAGACCAGCCTTTTCCATTGATTGTTTGTTTGACTCATTGGACTTGCTAAGCTGGCATTGATTAGAGAGACTGAACTCGATTTTTTCCTTATACATCATTGGCAGTGTTATTTAAACATTTCAAGGGGCTCATTTAGACAAAACTGGAGAGATGCAACATTAGCATACTCCAATAGCAAGAAAACAATCATATTGGACAGCTGTAAGTTCACATATGAAAATGCTTTACTGCTGGCTGGTGAAAGAAGGGGCACTAGTTAATGCTTGAATTTCAGGCTTAGTTTCAGACTGGTTGAAATTTCTCTCCTCCTGCATATATTGAAATCCTTCTAGCAGTAGGAGAATAAATGAAAATTCGTAATCATGCTGAAACTGCAAAATGTTTCCATTGTGTGAAGGAAAGATATTGCCAGATAAATGACAACTCATGAACTGCAAGCAGTACAGAGAACCTTGAAGTGTTATATTCTAAGTATTTGCGTATATACATAAGTCTCACAAATCTATCTACCTGTTGAACAGAAAATAGAGCTTGAAACGTATTTTCATGTAATTAACTTTCTAAGCACTGGGGCAGAGGAAACAGAGCAGATCACTTAAACAGGAAACACCATCATGTATCCTGTCCTATAAAGAAAATGACATATTTAGATTGTAAGTGCATTTTTTTTTCTGCTGCCATACATCCGACTTATTCAAAGTAATTTGTGCTGTCTTGTAACTTATTACCAATCTCAGCAAGGAGTTTAGGGAGTCTGAATAATCCTAAGGCATGAATCTGGGGAGCACTGCTAAAGATCCATTCGCTCTCTGACTACATTTGAAATGCGCTACATTTTCAAATCTGAAAATCACGTTTCGCTTTTACTTAGAGTGTTCAATGGAAATTCAAATAGCACCATTAATTGCAAACAAATTAATTATGCTCATTCGTGAATTCATAATGAAATCAAGAATTAATTCAATTTTTAAAATTGGGGATCATCTTAAATGTTTCATTAATTCTTTCATTTTGTTTCACAATTACCAACTGTGATTAAGACTTGATAAAGTTTTAATTTTGTTGAAACAATTTCAGGCACCTGGAGGACTAGCATGACTCCTCCTTAAGCACAGCCTTCAGGATTTAGATAAGATCTTAACCCAAGAAACACTAGCTCTTCTTTTTTAGCATATTTCACATGGCAGGACTCGCAAAAGATTTGTATTATACAGTTTAATGATACCTGGTGGGAATGCCTTACAATTGACAAGTTTTCCCTAAGGATTTTCATGTGGGTTTAGTCTGTTTTTTTTTTTTTTTCTTCTGACATGTTGCTTACTCCATTGCATGCAGGATGTCAGTGTATTCTATCAGCAAAATAAAGAACAAACCACCTGTGACCTAAGTTCCATCAACTTAGAATTCTTGTGATGTCTGAAAAAGCTAAGGAATCAACAGCAATCGAGTATACTAAAGACCTTCCCAGTTGCAGAAACAGATGTCTAATGTCTTGCTTCTGAAGTTTGAGCCTACTAAATCAGTTTTAGTTAAACCCCAAGGCTCAGGTTACCATAGCATTTGTAAACAGAAGAGACATGCAATTCTCACCATCAGTAGATAGCCTTACTTATAAATTATCAGGATGGACAGGTAATTCTGAAAATGGCTTCCATTTATGTGTGTTTAGATGGACTTCTCTTTCAGACGTGTCAACATGCTCACAATGATCACATTGTTTAAGAATGTCAGTCCCATCCGTTATATCCTTCACAGCAAGGTGTCATGCTGTCAACATGCCATTTGCTTATGGGGCAAATTAAGTATTTTTACTTTCTTTAAAGGCAAACAGAACCCTGAAGTATGCAAAGTTTCTGAAATAAGTGATCATCTGAGACAGCTGCCTGAATGGTGAAAGTTAATAACCATGGTATGCAATCTATCTGTCAGCTTGTGGAAAACCAAATTAAAAGAAAACAGAATTTAACAACAACTATAACTTGTTTTTCCAGAGATGTGATACTTTAAAGTGATAGATATGTTAGCTGCTTTTGTTCATTTGTCAGCACTGCATGTCTTTCAGTATCTCAAACTCATAGCACATGGGCAGGATGTTCTGTTCATTGTAGCAAATCTGAATGCAATTTCTATCCTTCTTTTCTTTTTATTTTTCTTTCTTTCAAATTCCTCTCTAAAAAGCAAGAAAAGCAACATTCCTTCTCTATTCTTGCCATTGTCAGAGCAGCATCTTGCTGGAAATATTTGGCAATTTTTATCCCTTGCAAGTAAACAGAAAATCTATACAGAAAATTGTGTGAACCTGCAGGAAAACTTAATAGCCTGTCCTTATGAAGTCATTTTTAAATGCTTTATCCTAGCTCCCATTTTACTTTACCATTTTATTTCTGATTTGCAGAATGAGAAATTTTGGCCTGTAGGCCGCAAGTTTTAGAGTAAACTACACATTTTTTGTCATATGGTTTTGAGGAAAAAAAAGAGACTTGAATTTCTTTATAAAAATGTCACTCTATTCTAATTCAGCTTGTTAGATGTAAAAGATAAGTGCACCTTGAAAATTAGCAAGTTTTGGCCTTCTCTTTAAGAAGCTTTTTAGCTGGATCTTTGTAGCCTATTTCTTACTGTCTAAAAGCACTGGTCTTCATAGCCTCTGAGTTTTCTAAGGGAATGCTGCTACTGACATCTTGTGTATTTGAAAAATATTTAGGATCCCCTGACCTTTGACGTTCTTGACAATGCTGTACTAGCAATGCAGCTGAAGCAAAAACTACTGGAAATCTGTTAAATAGTTGACACATGCTTTGATTCTTAAATTTCTTCTACACCATCATAGTAATTGTTGCCATTTTCCATACTCTTCAGCCATGGAGATGTAGAAAAGGTACCCTTCTTTCAGGACTGATGCAAGCACTAATGATGTTAGCAATGACACTTTCACAGGATGGCTTTGAAGTGAAGGCTACCTTGTGTTTATGAGTTGCCTACATCCCCCTTGAAATAAAGTGAGTGTTATGTACAAAGAATGGGTCCAAAGTCCTTACCAAAATGCATTTTCCTTCTGAATCACTGCTACTCATTCTGCAGACAAGACAAAACAGTGTGACTGGGATCACTAGCTGAACAGAAGCCAAATCAGATCTGCAGATTTACTCCATGTACGTATGTACCTCTTCTCTTTTCAAAATACAGGAGCAAAAAAAATTGTACTTAAAGTGGATCATCTATAAAGCTGATTTTGCACAGAATCAATTTCAGGAGCATAAGTAAAAGATTTTTCACTTCCCAGATGAACTAGATTTGGCATAACTGCTCTCATGCTCCCACTAGCTGCTGTCAGTGCTCAATATCTCTCTGCATGCAGTATTTAATCTTTCTTATTTTATCATAATTAGGGTGTACGTTCGCTATGTGTGTTCCCGCGCTTTAGTTACAAGAGAAGAGTTGAAATGAAAGAAGGTAAGAAATATCCGCTTAGGAAAGAAAATGACACAGTGATTTAGTCTAAGCTGTGTCCTTTGCCCAAGGAGCTTCTCATTATCTCTGTCTCTTTAGCTTTTAGTTTGAGACAGAGCACTATGTTTAATTATTTACTGGTTGCTATAGTGGTGTTAAATGAACCTTTGAGATTGTCACATGATGCCTAAAGTAGTCACCTCACAAATGCTAAAGCATATCTGTAGCAGGTTAGATTTCCTAAAGACCAAGAAAGCCCATATTCCTATTTTCAGAAAGCAGAGATGAACCAAAAAAAAAAAAAAAAAAAAAAATCAAACCTTGCTCCCTGTCTTTGAATGAATCCAGGAAACTTGCAGAAAGTGATGTATTTCTCTTAGAACTGTCCCCAGTCCACTCCACGTTATTTCAGTGTATAAATATGGGTTTACAGGCTTTCAGATGCTGATGCTGTTAGTAGATAAGTTCAATATGTACACAAAACCCCACAACAATGCAGAAAAGTTACATTGCAATATGCAGCAGTCCAATTTATTTCATGAAACATCTATCAAATGAGCAAATATATTTTGATGCCACGGTTATGAGTATGGTAGGCTCACAGTAATTCAGCATGACTGATGGAGTTGAAGATCATTATTTAAGAAGTGCAAGTTGATGGATATAAGTTAATGAATCTTAATGTAAGATGTTTTGAGTGTCCAGATGGGAATTTTGTGAAATGATAGAAAGATTGTTGAAGAGAGAAAGAGAAGAAACCCACACACAGAAGCATAAGAAAAAATAAATGAGGAAAAATGTATTTAAACTGAAATAATGTATGGTGGAAAGCCAAGACTAAGTTTTCACCAAAGAAGCAGAAACAAGTAGAATTTAGGATTGTTGTCCTCCTTCAAAAAATATCAACTATTTTGTCTTTTCCTTGTTTATTCAAAAGTATGTTAGTAAAATCCCTACTTAGACTTCTCTGTTTTAGTAATAACTTTTGTGTTAGGAATTTGTCTGGGAGAAAAAGAGTCCAAAGTCTGGCCTTGCTTTACATCTGTTCCAGCAAATGATGTTTTTGTTGGGAATAGGAATGAAGAGAGAAGGAGACAACTGAAGAGACAACAGATTTATACAGCTGAGACTACAGATGAAACTACTTATTCAAAGGTATAGTATGGCAGTCAGTCATTATATCAACAAGGGGAAGTACCACTTTACTGAATGCGGTGAAGCTTTTGTACAGAGATACGCTTTTAATATTGCATCCCGGGTGCTTTAAGTTCCAGTGATGTCTGTAGAAGATCTGAAAAATAAAGTACAAGCTTTGTGATTGAAGATTATTGTAGAATAACCTGGAGAGAAGATAACTGGTATCAAGGATGTCAGAGTGACAAGCAAAATTCAGAGGGAAATGTTCAGAGAAGCAGCCGAGGCAGTTCTGTGTCAGGATACAACACTTGTGCACTGGGGACCTGTCCCAGATCCACTGAAGCTATTAATGCAAGGCTGGAAAGATGGGGGTAGGGCAACCTTGTTCTCCTGCCCTCAGAAAAATGAATTTGTGTCCTGAAAGATTTTCCCTTGATGAAAATTTTCCTTAACATGGTGAAAAAGAACTTATCTGTTAGATTGCCAGAACCTTGTCCAGACACTACAGTGCTGATTTTATTTATGACTAACTTAATAGGTCTTATTCCCTCCTGAAACAGAAGATGAAACTCTGTAGGAGTGCCGGCAAAAGGAAGAGAAACACTGGCTAGGTACAGTGTAATAGTAGAGAGACATTCCTGTACATTTCCTACCCTCTGTTTGTATAAACTTCTTATCATGAATAATACATTGTTTTGCTAGCTTGAGCATTCAGAAACCTAACTTAAAATCCATGTTGAGTGGATTCCTAAGTAAAGCAGAGAATTCTGGAATAAAAAATATCCTTAACTCACTCTGGTGAGATGTAGCTAGCTTGAGCTGCTAGAGCATGGGGCAAGACTGCATTCCTCCAGCATCCACAGAGCTTGCTTGTTGCAGTACCTTGTGCAGCACAGGATAAATCAATCCTATAGTGCAATCCTATAGGTCTACAGATAAGTAAGTTGGCAAATTTCTGGAATGGATGTGACACCTCTTAAGAATCTTTTAAATCAGGTTTCCAAAGCAAAAACTTTTTAAAGGCATTAGTAAAAGGGAGCTCAGGCAAGTGGAACTAAGGTTGGAAAAATAGTACAGAAAGAAATCTGAAATCTTTCAGCTTCTGAAGTCTCAAAGTTTATTGGGAGTGTAATGTCATGAACAGTTCCCGCTTTAGGAAGGAACTAAATCCCTGCTAACAGATTACAAAAGCAACTATTACTTTTTCCTCATAAATATTAATGTTTTCCACATTATATAAATATGAATTTGTTAATAAGTGGACCTCCAAACAAAACAAACATCCATTTTTCAACCTTTTTTACATTGCATCTTTTATATATGGCCGTCAGAAAAGAACTGGATCAATTCCAGATTTCTAGAATATAAATTCCTTGTATATTAAAAGATTTTAAATCCTTTAGGAACCATTTAACTATCAAACTCTGATAGATCACATTTGTGATCAAACCTCAGAATCAAATACATTATCTGACCATTATTCTCTGCTCACAAGATGACCCCTTATTTCTAAAATTCAGAATATTCTGAATAACCCAGGTAAATGATCTGTAGGTGTGAAGGACTGTATCTCTTTGCTGAAATCTTTGCAATGTATTCTGGTTCATTAAAGACATTCTAGGAACTATAGTTAATATTAAAATATTATGTATCTTATTTTAGCCTGCAGTGGCAGTGACACAGTCCTAAGATCAAAAAGCCAACAAGAGCACAAATAATTTGGAAGAAAACATTTTTGATTGAAAATCTCAGGTTGATACTGAGTGCCCTTCCCTCCACATAAAGTTCAGTAATTTTACAGAAAAAGTGTATTTTTTTCTTGAATTATGTCACTTGCCATGAAATTATTTTGAATTTTATTACAATCTTGTATTTAATAGATTTCATCTAGATTGGCAAGTTGCTTTTCTAAAAGATGGTTCAAAGAGAGTCATTTGCAGCTTTAGTGTAGTAACTCCTCAAGAGAACAAATCTGTAAGCAATCTAATCTTCATTATCAAGTACCAGGTGGTACTGAATCAGCTGCTATTTTTTGTGATACTGGTGAGTAGAAGGAAGGATTAAACTTTGAATAGCATATGAAAATCAATTTTTTCAAGATTAAGAAACCCACAGATGCAGCTATTCTCAGTGGTGTATGTACAAGGACTTATTCTTCAGCCTCCCGTGGATCCATTTTCCCCAGGTAAAATGAGGCACTGCAGGTGAAAAAATGCTACTGCTCTTATTTGCACACTGCTTCAGCAGTGCAAGCACTTTATTGTCAGGCTCTCTGGCCTCTTGAGTGCTGCAGTGGAGACAACATCTTCATGTGATGTTAGTGGCAGTGTTTTCATACTGCAAATGCCAAGGTGAAGTTGTTAGTGCTGTCATATACTGATAATGCATCCACATACTCCAGCAGAGTAGAGAAGTGGCCCTAAGGCAACTTTTGTCCACCAGGACTTAGAGCCTCTTCATCTTAAACACTGTTTGGCCAGATCCAATTGTTATGCTAGGGTAAAAAGAGAAGGTAAAAAAGCTTAGAAAAGCTTATAAAAGCAGACAGAGAAACAAAGCCTCTCTTTCTTTCACTTAGTATTCACCATAGTTTCCTTGTGGTCACTTTTCAGGCTCTCAGGCATGTGGCCGTGTTTTTCAGACTGCATTTTATTTAAACCCAAGCAGGGTGAATGGGAGCCCACACGCAGAATCAGGGCCTAAGTTCTCTCTGTATGTTGACCTGTGTTAGGCACACACGTACTTCACAGTATCCCAAGGACTTTCAGTTTTTCACTGAGCAGAAAACTACCTGAGCCAGGCCCCATGCTGCCAGGCAGTGATGAACAGGAGAAAAGAATTTCCCTTGTGACTTCCATGGACATAATAAGATCCCTGTTATGAAACTAAGTTCTTAGTTTTGCGACTACTTTTCTTTGATACTTGAAGCAGAAAAGCTAAATCATGGCTTGAAACAGCAATGGAGACCTAGTGCAAAGGTATGGCCAACTCAGAGGAGCTCAGGTGCATGCAATGCACCTGTCATGGGAAGGGGTGCAGCCAGGATTCACCCCTTCCCAGACCTCAGTTAAAGGTTGGCAGTGGAGGCAAGAGTATCTTGGAGATCCCTGTGTAGCTGAGGCCTTCTGAAGGCTGAGCATTTTATCAGATACTCCCTTGCTGCATCCTGGGACCTTGCTGCTCTGCTGTCGTTGCTGTGCTTTCTATTGTGTTACAATATTACTGGAGTAAAGGAAGGTTTTTTGTTTACTTGGATGGCTTTCAAGAAGATGAACAAATTAAGGGAGGGATTTCAGTCTGTCTTAAATAATTTGAATTATGGGTTAACTTCCAGTATAAGTATCTGCTATTGGTTCCTTTATTTTTATCTGAATTTATAAGTATCCACAGTCTACAGAGCTGGATATTGTTCCATCTGTATATATGAAAAACAGCAAATGCTACAATAATCTGTTACTTTTGTGATGTGTAGAAAAAACTATAAATGATGAGTCTCTTTTCGTAAAATGAGAGAATTTTTTCTTTACTTTTAATAGCATTGGAATTTTCAAGGTCATGAAATTAATAAACTACGTTTCTCTTAGAAAAGCCAGAACTTCTAACAAGGTAATATCCTCGAAACATCCATTGCTAAAGCTTCAGGGCTGTGATAGACTGCTTGTGCTACTCTGTGAGGGATCTTAAAAAGGTTATACAAAAAACTATGCTTCCCTCTGTCATGGTGTGCGTTGAGGCAGGGCAGATGTATTGGTGTGTGAGTTCTGCCACAGGTGAGAACAGCAGCTTATCAAGGGGATTGTGACGAGGAAAGCTACAGCTTCATGCTCTCTGTTCAACAAAAGAGCTCATGGAGCTACAAGGAGTTATAAATGTACGGTTTCAAGGCTAGTGGAAAGGATTTCTCATCACTCCTTCATTAGTGTTTTGGGGAGGCTGTCTCCTTTTATTTTTCCTAGCTGTGTTGTTTTTTTAAATTATACTCAGAATCAGAAGCTACTTTTTACTGTTTAAGAGTATGTTATGAAAGCATCTGTATTCAGACATCTATTGACTTTAGAGTATTGTACCTAACAGAGAATTCCCAAATGTAAGGCACTAATCAGACGAAACAAATTTCTTGTACTGCAGCTTTCACAGAAATCACCATTTCTTCAGGTTCTTCTGCCTTTATACTTTTTTTTTTTTTTTTTTTTTTTTAAAACAATACTGCAAAAGAAATTCAGTTATTTGACTTGGAATGATTTCTCCAGGACTAAAGGAAACTGTTTATATAGACTGTGGTGTAAGTTGAAGGCATTTCTTAAGTGGAAAAAATAACTCTTCATAGCTTTTGGAAAAAGTTGACAATTTAGATTCATCTGTTTCCTTTTTCCTATCCTTATTATAGGTACTGTGGGATCAAGAGATTTCTAGAAGTAGTCTCTTTTGAAAATGGTCATAACAGAAACGGGTTCTAATCGTAAATACTGTGGAAAAAGAACATAAGATTTAACAATTAGCAAGGGTTATTTCCTCTGAAAATTCCTTTTGCTGGCTGTGGCTGTGTACTCTTCCCTGTGCTGGGTACTGCAAAAGTAGGGTTTTATTCAGCTAGGGCACTGGACTATGAGACTGTAAATCTTAGGTCTATTCCCAGCTCTGTCTTAGAGCCTTGCTTTGCTACCTAAGGCAAGTCATAGCCTCTCTGTATTCCAACACTAAACTGAAAAATAGCAGTGATAACTTCTGTAATTTTCTGCAACAGTGTTGAGATTAAATTATTTGAAACTGTATGGTACATTTCAGATTCTTGTAAAGATGGGTGGGTGAGGAGAGTACCAGAGTGGACAATATTTTTCATAAATAAAAATGTGATGGAAAAGAGCGATTTCACTCTTGTGAGCGAATGAGGTAAAGATATTAGAAATGGTTGCGTTCTCTGAGAATAAATATGCACACATTGATATCAGTGGGCCGATGTTAACTGCTTTTGACTTAAAAACCATAGAAACGTAATATTGGTGAAGACAGGACTGGAG